CTATTAACTAAACTCATTTCCAATGTTTCGGATTTTACTGTCCGATGCAAATTTCCTATCCTCTATTGTTTGGACGAGCTACCATTCGTGCCACCATTCATCGACACACAGCGAGCTCGGGTTTAAGCTATGTTAAATGGTAATTTCATCGACACACAGCGAGCTGGGTTTTAAGCCATGTTAAATGGTGATTTCATCGACACACAGCGAGCTCAGGTTTAAGCTGTGTTCTATGGTGATTTCATCGACACACAGCGAGCTCGGTTTTAAGCTATGTTATATGGTGATTTCATCGACACACAGCGAGTTCCGGTTTAAGCTATGTTATATGGTGATTTCATCAACACACAGCGAGCTCGGGTTTAAGCTATGTTATATGGTGATGTCATCGACACACAACGAGCTCGTGTTTAAGCTATGTTATATGGTGATGTCATTGACTCACAGCGAGTTCGGGTTAAGCTATGTTATATGGTGATGTCAAGACACACAGGGAGCTCAGGTTTAAGCTTTGTTATATGGTGATTTCATCGACACACAGCGAGCTCGGGTTTAAGCTATGTTACATGGTGATTTCATCGACACACAGCGAGCTCGGGTTAAGCTATGTTATATGGTGATTTCATCGACACACAGCGAGCTCGGGTTAAGCTATGTTATATGGTGATTTCGTTTGTTGGTTGGTAGTTGTACCCCACCATGATATCACACAAGCGATAAACACCCGGAGTCACTAAGTGCCACCATGCGGATGACGATCACCCGTGCAGAGGTGCTAAAAACCGCTTTAAGTAGTTAGGCCATATCTATGTCCCGGTTATATTCAGGGCCTCCGGCAAAAGCCAGTGTGGATTTCCTGGTTCTTTTATCCTAAATACAGATGATACAAATGTCAGTCGATTCTCTCGTGTTCCATAGTAACCAAATGATGTCAAATACAACTAACTGTTCATGACAAGCATCTATCAATCTTTTTTTTACCCTATCAGGACATGACACAAGCGATAAACACCCGATGACACCGCCACCACGTGGATGAGGATCACTCGTAGAGAGGTCCCAGAAACCGCGTTCAGCCATTAGGCCATATTTATGGCCAGGCTATATTGCAGCCTCTGGCAAGAGCCAGAGTAGGGCTTCAAATAACAAAACAATTCATTCCACAAGGAGATGACTGGATGGATTACTGAAACTATTACACGACAAGCAGAGCACCGCTAAAAACATAGGTGATGTCAAGACACACAGCGAGCTCAGGTTTAAGCTTTGTTCTATGGTGATTTCATCGACACACAGCGAGCTCAGGTTTAAGCTATGTTATATGGTGATTTCATCGACACACAGCGAGCTCAGGTTTAAGCTGTGTTCTATGGTGATTTCATCGACACACAGCGAGCTCGGGTTAAGCTATGTTATATGGTGATTTCATCGACACACAGCGAGCTCAGGTTTAGGCTGTGTTCTATGGTGATTTCATCGACACACAGCGAGCTCGGGTTAAGCTATGTTATATGGTGATTTCATCGACACACAGCGAGCTCAGGTTTAAGCTGTGTTCTATGGTGATTTCATCGACACACAGCGAGCTCGGGTTTAAGCTATGTTACATGGTGATTTCATCGACACACAGCGAGCTCGGGTTTAAGCTATGTTATATGGTGATTTCATCGACACACAGCGAGCTCGGGTTAAGCTATGTTATATGGTGATTTCATCGACACACAGCGAGCTCAGGTTTAAGCTATGTTATATGGTGATTTCATCGACACACAGCGAGCTCAGGTTTAAGCTATGTCATATGGTGATTTCATCGGCACACAGCGAGTTCGGGTTTAAGCTATGTCATATGGTGATTTCATCGACACACAGCGAGCTCGGGTTTAAGCTATGTCATATGGTGATTTCATCGACACAAAGCGAGCTCGGGATTAAGCTATGTTATATGGTGATTTCATCGACACACAGCGAGCTCAGGTTTAAGCTATGTTATATGGTGATTTCATCGACACACAGAGAGCCCAGGTTTAAGCTATGTTATATGGTGATGCCACTGACACACAGCGAGCTCAAGTTTAAGCTATGTTATTTGGTGATTTCATCGACACACAGCGAGCTCAGGTTTAGGCTATATTATATGGTGATTTCATCGACACACAACGAGCTCGGGTTTAAGCTATGTTATATGGTGATTTCATCGACACACAGCGAGCTCGGGTTAAGCTATGTTAAATGGTGATTTCATCGACACACAGCGAGCTCGGGTTTAAGCTATGTTAAATGGTGATGTCATTGACACACAGCGAGTTCGGGTTAAGCTATGTTATATGGTGATGTCAAGACACACAGCGAGCTCAAGTTTAAGCTATGTTATATGGTGATGTCAAGACACACAGCGAGCTTAGGTTTAAGCTATGTTATATGGTGATTTCATCGACACACAGCGAGCTCGGGTTTAAGCTATGTTATATGGTGATTTCATCGACACACAGCGAGCTCGGGTTTAGGCTGTGTTAAATGGTGATTTCATCGACACACAGCGAGCTCGGGTTTAAGCTATGTTATATGGTGATGTCATTGACACACAGCGAGCTCGGGTTTAAGCTATGTTATATGGTGATGTCATTGACACACAGCGAGCTCGGGTTTAAGCTATGTTATATGGTGATTTCATCGACACACAGCGAGCTCGGGTTTAAGCTATGTTATATGGTGATTTCATCGACACACAGCGAGCTCGGGTTTAAGCTATGTTATATGGTGATTTCATCGACACACAGCGAGTTCGGGTTTAAGCTATGTTATATGGTGATTTCATCGACACAGCGAGCTCAGGTTTAAGCTATGTTATATGGTGATGTCATTGACACACAGCGAGTTCGGGTTAAGCTATGTCGTATGGTGATGTCATTGACACAAAGTAAGCTCGGGTTTTAGCTGTGTCATATTCTGGAACCATTTGCCAAACTAACTTTTACTTCGTGCACAGTCGCGTCTCGTCAGATGTCACAGCTTACCTCCCCTGCACTCGGCAGTTTGATTAGCTGCAATTTAATTACCGCTATCCGTATTTATCAATCTCAGTTCAAGGAGAGACTAAGTCCCAAACATGATAGGACCGTATCCCTGGAGGCTGGTCGTCGTATCCGTCATTACTGCCGTCCACAGTCGCCTGGATAACGTCAGAGACTAGTAAGTCCGACATACTCATTTTGTCCGACTACATGTGACTGATTCATTCACAGTCATATCAAAGGTTCTCACGTGTGCCGTGCATCTTTGTTTCAACAGCAGAAGTGAAATTGTTTGCAGAAACTGCTCACAGAATCATCTGTTCAGCTAGTGTTGCTCAGAGAATCATCTGTTCAGCTACTGCGCTGATTCTCCAGCCATCTGTACCAGAGTACTTTGCTTCCAGAATTAAAACAACATTTTCAGAGCATTCTGACCTCCACGATGCCACAAGATAATGTACACACGATATGTGTCGGTGGTGTCAAATGTCCCTCTAGGGAGATAGCAGACGGTCTTAGTTCGAGCCCACTTTCAACAGCTAATCCCCAAGTCACGTCAAAGAATACAGTGACAGAGAGACAGAGACAGAGATAGAGAGAAAGAGATATATACAGATAGAGAGAGAGAGAGAGAGAGAGAGAGAGAGAGAGAGAGAGAGAGAGAGAGAGAGAGAGAGAGAGAGAGAGAGAGAGAGAGAATGGCGAACAAGCGATCTCAGAAAGGAATCAAGGGGAGGGTATTTAAGAAGATTTTATTTGTCAAGACAAGTAAATGGAGACTGGAGCGGACGCTGGGTGACAGGCAATGGGGTACAATAGCTGTTCTGATTTCTTTGGCGACTTCTTGTTGTAGATTATGTTGTAAACTACCAGGGAGGGACATTGTTGTAGATTATGTTGTAAACAACCATCCATGGACATTGTTGTAGATTATGTTGTAAACTACCAGCTGGGACATTGTTGTAGATTATGTTGTAAACTACCAGCCATGGACATTGTTGTACATTATGTTGTAAACTACCAGCCATGGACATTGTTGTACATTATGTTGTAAACTACCAGCCATGGACATTGTTGTAGATTATGTTGTAAACTACCAGTCATGGACATTGTTGTAGATTATGTTGTAAACTACCAGGGAGGGACATTGTTGTAGATTATGTTGTAAACTACCAGGGAGGGACATTGTTGTAGATTATGTTGTAAACTACCAGCCAGGGACATTGTTGTAGATTATGTTGTAAACTGCCTGCCAGGGACATTGTTGCAGATTATGTTGTAAACTGCAAGCCAGGGACATTGTTGTAGATTATGTTGTAAACTACCAGCCAGGGACATTGTTGTAGATTATGTTGTAAACTACCAGCCAGGGACATTGTTGTAGATTATGTTGTAAACTGCCTGCCAGGGACATTGTTGTAGATTATGTTGTAAACTATCAGTCAGCGACATTGTTATAGATTATGTTGTAAACTATCAGTCAGGGACATTGTTATAGATTATGTTGTAAACTATCAGTCAGGGACATTGTTATAGATTATGTTGTAAACTATCAGTCAGGGACATTGTTATAGATTATGTTGTAAACCGCCGGCCAGGGGCATTGATGTAAATCAGGTTGTTTCTTTGCTGTCCGATGCACCCTAGCAACAACACATCATACATGAGAACAGTACCTGTACACCTATACGATACACTACACTAAAGATTACACATATATTGTGTGGACGTGTTTGCCCTCTCCAACCCTCAATGATGCGAAGCTGACACAAGATATTGACATCAATCAAGGCCCGGCTCGTCTACAACAGACAACCATTGTTATTGGTTCTCGTGTAATGGGCACTTGGAAGTGGTGCACTCTGTTGTTGATGCCACTTTATGCAGGAGGCCTGCCCTCGTTCACGCTTCATGGAATCGGCAAACTACAGTGTGGCAGACAATCTGTTACACAGCAAATGCATTATTTTCAACGTCAACACACGACAGCACCTGGGGTGGATCGATGGAAGAAAGACAGATGTGCCAGTTTGCGAACATTTTAACCCAGCAGTGGGAGTGCTTGCGAAGGGTCCAAAGTCTTGGTTTCGATTCCGCTTCCATAAGTTTAATGAATGATCATGGCTCCTAAATGCGCTCAGCCTAGTCTGCGCCAGGAAATGACTTGCAGCGTCAAGGCGGCCGGTCTGACGGTGACTGCATCAGTCACTGAGTGTCGACGGTCTCAACAAAAATGGCATCAACATCGTATTGCCAGGAGGGACCGTGGCTGGAAACAGCCCTGTACTGTTAGTTACTTGGCGTTAACAACCTGGCACATTGAGACAGACATGTCATCACCGACATCTGCACATGGGTACACAGTCCCTGAAATAGGTTTGCTAACAAGATGCAGGGCAGAGAGTAGGTCTAGGGCACGGGTAGGTCTGGGGCAGGGGTAGGTCTGGGACAGAGGTAGGTCTGGGGCAGCAGTAGGTCTGGGGCAGGGGTAGGTATGGGTCAAGGGGTAGGTCTGGGGCAGGGGTAGGTCTGGGGCAGCAGTAGGTCTGGGGCAAGGGTACGTCTGGGGCAGATGTAGGTCTGGGGCAGGGGTAGGTCTGGGGCAAGGGTACGTCTGGGGCAGAGGTAGGTCTGGGGCAAGGGGTAGATCTGGGGGCAGGGGTAGGTCTGGGGCAGGGGTAGGTCTGGGGCAGCGGTAGGTATGGAGTACGGGTATGTTAGGGGCAGCGGTAGGTCTGTGGTACGGGTAGGTCTGGGGCAGCGGTAGGTCTGGGGCAGCGGTAGGTCTGGGGCACGGTTAGGTCTGGGGCAGGAGTAGGTGTGGGGCAGCGGTAGGTCTGGGGCACGGTTAGGTCTGGGGCAGGAGTAGGTGTGGGGCAGCGGTAGGTCTGAAGCAAGTGGGTAGGTCTAGAGCATGTGGTAGGTCTGGGGCACGGGTGTAGGTGGTGGAGGAAAAAGATGCCTAGTTGTGATTCAAAACTTTTGTGCTCGCCGAGAACACACGGTACACCCGGTGTCGTTACGGATGCCATAATTATAACTTGTTATGAGGTTGAATAGGTTGTGTGAGATCTGGTCTGCTGGGCTGTCATCCAACTGAGGGAAGATGAAACCTGCAGTTGGCGGCCCAGAGATAATGGGAGCAGTCAGGTCAGGTTTACATTCGTTCTTAAGTGGAGGAGATAGAGTTGTCTGGTCTCCATAGATACAGGCGGTACTAGTATGGTTCTGGTATTTATGTGTGGGATTTAGCAAGTTTCTTAGCTTGTTGTTATTATTATTATTTTGTTTGACTTCAATACACAGCAACACTGACGTACTTACTAAAACAACGCGTCTTCATCGTGTTTCATGATCAGCGTGAAACGTAGTTAACCGAAGATCGTTTCATGTGTGTCAGGTCGCTGATCACCTGCCAGCAGTAGCCTGACAATATCCTCGTTCCTGTGTTGTTTTGGGTTGTATGAGACACTGTGTCTGTGACCTAGTTCCTGTGTTGTTTTGGGTTGTATGAGACACTGTGTCTGTGACTTCGTTCCTGTATTGTTTTGGGTTGTATGAGACACTATATCTGTGACCTAGTTCCTGTGTTGTTTTGGGTTGTATGAGACACTGTGTCTGTGACCTAGTTCCTGTGTTGTTTTGTTTTGCATGAGACACTGTGTCTGTGACTTCGTTCCTGTGTTGTTTTGGGTTGTATGAGACACTATGTCTGTGACCTCGTTCCTGTGTTGTTTTGGGTTGTATGAGACACTGTGTCTGTGACCTAGTTCCTGTGTTGTTTTGGGTTGTATGAGACACTATGTCAGTGACCTCGTTCCTGTGTTGTTTTGGGTTGTATGAGACACTATGTCAGTGACCTCGTTCCTGTGTTGTTTTGGGTTGTATGAGACACTATGTCTGTGACCTCGTTCCTGTGTTGTTTTGGGTTGTATGAGACACTATATCTGTGACCTAGTTCCTGTGTTGTTTTGGGTTGTATGAGACACTATGTCAGTGACCTCGTTCCTGTGTTGTTTTGGGTTGCATGAGACACTGTGTCTGTGACTTCGTTCCTGTGTTGTTTTGGGTTGTATGAGACACTATGTCTGTGACCTCGTTCCTGTGTTGTTTTGGGTTGTATGAGACACTGTGTCTGTGACCTAGTTCCTGTGTTGTTTTGGGTTGTATGAGACACTGTGTCTGTGACTTCGTTCCTGTGTTGTTTTGGGTTGTATGAGACACTATATCTGTGACCTAGTTCCTGTGTTGTTTTGGGTTGTATGAGACACTGTGTCTGTGACCTAGTTCCTGTGTTGTTTTGGGTTGCATGAGACACTGTGTCTGTGACTTCGTTCCTGTGTTGTTTTGGGTTGTATGAGACACTATGTCTGTGACCTCGTTCCTGTGTTGTTTTGGGTTGTATGAGACACTATGTCTGTGACCTCGCTCCTGTGTTGTTTTGGGTTGTATGAGACACTATGTCTGTGACCTAGTTCCTGTGTTGTTTTAGGTTGTATGAGACACTATGTCAGTGACCTCGTTCCTGTGTTGTTTTGGGTTGTACGCGACACTATGTCTGTGACCTCGTTCCTGTGTTGTTTCAGGTTGTTTGAGACGCACCCTGAAGTGCAGAACGTCTTTGTGCCCTTCCGAGGACAGACGAGGGAAGTGCTGCAGGACAGCGTCCAGCTAAAGTCTCACGCCGTCCGAGTGATGGGCACAGTGGACAAGTGCCTGACTCGCTGCCAGGACCCCGAGAGGATCAGACAGATGCTGCACGAGCTGGGCGCCAGGCACGTCTTGTACAACGCTAGGGTGGATTACATGGATGTGAGTAGTTTATCAGTCAACATCATCAACATCGTCGCATTTATCATCATCATCATTATCATCACAACCCTACCACACAGCTGACAGACAACAATGGCGTTCATGGCTGTTGAGTTTCTGTGCAGATTTATGTTAAAATAGTAATTGTTTCTGTACATCCTAAGACTAAAAACATATTTATTCTTACTCTATCTCTCTCTCTCTCTCTCTCTCTCTCTCTCTCTCTCTCTCTCTCTCTCTCTCTCTCTTTCGCTCTCCCTCTCTTCCACTCTCTCTCCCAGTCTCTTTCTCTCTCTCTCTCTCTCTCTCTCTCTCTCTCTCTCTATATATATATATATATATATATATATATATATATATATATATATATATATATGTTCATATTTTTTTATTATATTATTAATATTTTTAATATATGTGTGTGTGTTTGTGTGTGTGTATGTGTGTTGCAAAATAAAATTGTTTGGTGGCTTGTTAGTTCCAGACACCGGCTAGATAAGCGCCCGTTTATTGCCTCTGTTACATTTCCCAGTCAGCTAAACATTGCGTGCCAAATGCTTGTGAAACAAATCTCTGCATGTATGACACGGTGTTTCACAGTGTCAGAATCTGAGAAGTTGTAGATGTCAAGTGGGTGACGATATTTAGGGATCTCCTGGCGTGTGTGCTATCTACCCCGCGGCGTCTGCTGTAAAGATATGACTTGTTTAGGACATCACTGGGGGCAGGGAAGGGCACGTGTCACAAGCAATCATCAGGATCCGTTAGCGAGGCGATATGGAGACAAGCCAATCATAATCTAGATGGCAGGCAGGCAGAACCAGGGAGATGAGGACGTAAAGAAAACTGACAACTGTCTGCATGAAGCCTCAAACAAACACGCCATCTCTTCATGATGCGTGAGTTAGCAGTGGTCTAGGGGCAGAAGCTCAGGTTGTAGACCTGGTGAGTGACGATCTACCCCACCAGGACCCCGCATCCAGCGATAAACATCCAATGACACAAAGTGTCACCATTCGGAAAACTCCATAGGTTATATTTAGGGCCCCCGACGGCAGTCAGTGGGCGAAAAGGGGAGGGGTGGGGGAAAAGGGGAGGGGTGGGGGAAAAGGGGAGGGGTGGGGGAAGCTTTAAAATAATAAAATATTGCGTGCCACACTGAGACGGAAAGTCATGGTATTTGTTAACATAACGAGTGAGTGAGTGAATGAGTGAGTGAGTGAATGAGTGAGTGAGTGAGTGAGTGAGTGAGTGAGTGAGTGAGTGAGTGAGTGAGTGAGTGAGTGAATGAGTGAGTGAGTGAATGGTGTTTAACCCCTTACTAGGACAGCACAACGAGCAATAAACAGCCTGTGACACAAAGTGCCCATGTTATAGAGTTAGAATGACACTAGTCGTACCAGTTATATAGACCTGCGTACAGTTTCAAGTCAGACTGCTGTTTAATACTCCTTGGAGAACGCAGTTGCCAACTTTTTAAGATTTGAACCCCTCCCCTAGAAAATGCAGATGCCGTGCTCTGAAAATAGCCACACGCGCAGATATTTCGAAATGGAGGCAAGGTTTTTGTTTGCGAGCCAGAAAATGCGACTGTTAATGAAGTTTGCAAATAAACATGGTCCCTGTACCTGAGGCTAGTGACACGGGTGTCCCAGAGTGATTTCTCTATTTAGTGAGGCTTAAAGTGTGAAAGAGTAGTTTAGGGAGATGTAAGAGAAAACGAGGAGCCGTTAAAGATCATAAAAGATAAAAGTGAGAAGACAATATAGACTGAGTAGGTATGTCGTCACGTTGAGCAATTAAGTACTCTCACCCTTGGATCATTTCAAAAGAGGTAGATAAGAGAAGAAGATAGGTTCTTTGAACAGAAGCCGCAGGAATGTCTGCGACCCTTGAAGTCCTGTTGCACCAGTGCAGTTCTGACTCTAACTCTATACGATGACTAATACAAGTTGCCAGTAGAACTAAACCAACTAGATTCAAGATTACACAACAATAAGAAGTTTATTTAAGTCAACAATATCTCTCCAAATTAGGCCTCTGTCTCACCCCGGTCGCTGTCCTTAGATAAACTGTTGACCTTCTGCTTCTTGCTCCTAAATCTCCAGATCCCCATTGTTCCTTGCAAGCCTTTTCAGGTCAATAGCCTCGTAACTTCTCCAAGCTGGGCCATCCTCTCTTACTGTTGCGGTTTTTTCCCAGAGCTTTGTAGGTGTACGCTGCTCTAGCAGTTTTACTTTCTGGGATTTTTCCATAGCCTGATTAGTAATGCAAATTCTCAACTTTCGTTCTTAGTTCAATTAGAGGTAATCCTGCAGCATCTTTGTCTGTCTTTCTAGGCCAATGCTGGGTGCGCTTTTAACCTTTGTTTTCTCCTTCCGAAGTTTATGGGTACATTGGCCTACAATAGTTCCTGTACTGGCTTGGCCCCGCACCTACAACTCAAGTCAATGCACTCAGGGTTGCTATATTTTATTCTACGTAGCGACCTTCTTAATCTCAAGCGACTCTATACCTCCTTTTTCCTCTGTGTATTTCTGTCCTTCTATTTCCTTTGTGTAATCTTCGTGATTGTAATCAGTACTGTCACACGGGGGTGTCTTGGGTAGTTACTGGCTTGTCCCTGACACAAGTTGCAATTGTGTCATAAGTTTGGCCTGACACCTTTTTTACTTGGCTAATTCCATATCACACATGTGTCGCTGACATCAAGCAGATGAGGCCTCTAGTAGTTAACGTGAGTTCACAGTGATAGAATATTTGAGAACTTTTCAACAGTTAACCAGTCGAATCACTGGAATTAAAACACGTGACACCTTGATGGTCGATTCTAGAAAACGGCTGCGCATCCGTGGAAGGAAGTCAGTTCTTTCAGAAATCCCTATCAGGCGGACTCAGGCGGTAACTCGAGCATGGAAGGATAGACTGCCGCACAGAATTATGAGGAAAGAGGCTAACAGTTCTAATGGGGTTCTAAACGAGAAGGCCCAACAAATAATAAGAGCTGGAAGGAAAAAAACCTACCTCCATTAAAGCATGCTACGACATGCTTGAAGATCAGTCAAGATGGGACGCACGACATTTGTATCATCATTTATGTTGCGTCTTGGTGAAGGGGCTTTTCGCATTTAGCCCAGCATTGTGTTGGAAGGATGTTGGAATGTTGATTCGTGGATTATTCATTCACTGAATCTGGGACCCAAAACTGTATGCACTTTATGTTGTAACGTTGTTGAATGTACCGTCTGCCAGATGCTTTGTACTTTATGTTGTAACGTTGTTGAATGTACCGTCTGCCAGATGCTTTGTACTTTATGTTGTAACGTTGTTGAATGAACTGTCTGCCAGATGCTTTGCACTTTGTGTTGTAACGTTGTTGAATGAACTGTCTGCCAGATGCTTTGCACTTTATGTTGTAACGTTGTTGAATGAACCGTCTGCCAGATGCTTTGTACTTTATGTTGTAACGTTGTTGAATGAACTGTCTGCCAGATGCTTTGCACTTTATGTTGTAACGTTGTTGAATGAACTGTCTGCCAGATGCTTTGCACTTTATGTTGTAACGTTGTTGAATGAACTGTCTGCCAGATGCTTTGCACTTTATGTTGTAACGTTGTTGAATGAACCGTCTGCCAGATGCTTTGTACTTTATGTTGTAACGTTGTTGAATGAACCGTCTGCCAGATGCTTTGTACTTTATGTTGTAACGTTGTTGAATGTACCTTCTGCCCGATGCTTTGCACTTAATCGATCGAAAAATCACGGTTGATGTCGGTGTGCATGTTCAATCGTTAAAAAGTGTGTAAAAAGAATTCGGATACAGAGTTCATGTTCGTTAGACGCAGCCGTTTACGAACAGGCGGCTATCCAGGCAAGGACACTGCCACACAACTGTTGGAATGAGAAGAACGCAGTTCAAGTCCCAGAAACCCCTGCTCAGCCGCTAGGTTGTATTTAGGCTCCCGGCTACATCCGTGTGGTGACTTCAAATAAGACATTTTGTCCCATACTGGAGCAAAGTTTTTTTTTTAATAAGTCCCTTTATGTTGTAGACATGATGTAGATGTAGAGTTCAGACTCGAATCAGAGGTCACATCTGCCTGTGTGTCGCGTGTGTGTGGTGTGTGGGAGTAGCTTCTGTCTATGTGTGTGGAACTCTGGGTGTGCTATACCTGTGAATATTTATATTCACTATTGTCTCTGCCCCTGTCAGGTATCACGCCCCCCCCCCTTTTTTTTCCATCAGGTTGTCACCCCTATTACCCATTTGCATTTTCAGACACCTGTTTGTCTCCCGTCTCTTGTCCCATCCTCTTTGATACAACTGTATACCCACTGTCGATTGCTTATCACATGTTATACGAAGATCATATACAAATTGTTTTCTATTTATTTGATTTTACAGAAGTTATCAACCGTCCCTCTGTTTTTATTTTTCAGCTGATTGGTCCGCAGTTCATCTTGGCCATCGAACCGGTGATTGGGGAATTCTGGACACCGGAAGTGGAGCAGGCCTGGTCAGATTTGTTCAAGTACATCAGCTATGTCATGAAGGGAGCCATGAGGTTTTGATGATCACCGAGGACACGTCATTGTCACAGCCAAGCATTGCTGACAGGGTGTGTGGACACGTCATTGTCACAGCCAAGCATGGCTGACAGGGCGTGTGGACACGTCATTGTCACAGCCAAGCATGGCTGATCGGATGTGTGGACACTTCATTGTTACAGCCAAACATGGCTGACAGGGAGTGTGGACACGTCATTGTCACAGCCAAGCATTGCTGACAGGGAGTGTGGACACGTCATTGTCACAGCCAAGCATGGCTGACAGGGAGTGTGGACACGTCATTGTCACAGCCAAGCATGGCTGATCGGATGTGTGGACACTTCATTGTTACAGCCAAACATGGCTGACAGGGAGTGTGGACACGTCATTGTCACAGCCAAGCATGGCTGACAGGGAGTGTGGACACGTCATTGTCACAGCCAAGCATGGCTGACAGGGAGTGTGGACACGTCATTGTCACAGCCAAGCATGGCTGACAGGGTGTGTGGACACGTCATTGTTACAGCCAAACATGGCTGACAGGGAGTGTTGACACGTCATTGTCACAGCCAAGCATGGCTGACAGGGAGTGTGGACACGTCATTGTTACAGCCAAGCATGGCTGACAGGGAGTGTGGACACGTCATTGTCACAGCCAAGCATGGCTGACAGGGAGTGTGGACACGTCATTGTTACAGCCAAGCATGGCTGACATGGAGTGTGGACACGTCATTGTTACAGCCAAGCATGGCTGACAGGGAGTGTGGACACGTCATCGTCACAGCCAAGCATGGCTGACAGGGAGTGTGGACACGTCATTGTCACAGCCAAGCATGGCTGATCGGGTGTGTGGACACGTCATTGTTACAGCCAAGCATGGCTGATCGGGTGTGTGGACACGTCATTGTTACAGCCAAGCATGGCTGACAGGGAGTGTGGACACGTCATTGCCACAGCCAAGCATGGCTGACAGGGAGTGTGGACACGTCATCGTCACAGCCAAGCATGGCTGATCGGGTGTGTGGACACGTAATTGTTACAGCCAAGCATGGCTGACAGGGAGTGTGGACACGTTATTGTCACAGCCAAGCATGGCTGACAGGGAGTGTGGACACGTCATTGCCACAGCCAAGCATGGCTGACAGCGAAAGGGAAAAAAAGACATGGGGTGTGGATAGGGAGTGGACTGAAACAAGCGCCTGCGCTGATTTGTCTGGTAGCTTTGTTTCTATTCATGAGCAGGCTTCTGCTCCAAGTAATGGTACAGCTAGGTTTTCCAGCTTCACCCAGTGACTTGGGTTATCAAGACCCCAACCAGTGACTTGGGTTATCAAGACCCCAACCAGAGACTTTGGTTATCAAGACTCCACCCAGGGACTTGGGTTGTCACGACTCCACCCAGAGACTTGGGTTATCACGACTCCATCCAGAGACTTGGGGTTATCAAGACTCCATCCAGGGACTTGGGTTATCAAGACCCCAACCAGAGACTGGTTATCAAGACTCCATCCAGAGACTTGGGGTTATCAAGACCCAACCAGTGACTTGGGTTATCAAGACCCCAACCAGAGACTTTGGTTATCAAGACTCCACCCAGGGACTTGGGTTGTCACGACTCCATCCAGAGACTTGGGGTTATCAAGACTCCATCCAGGGACTTGGGTTATCAAGACTCCACCCAGTGACTTGGGTTATCAAGACTCAACCCAGTGACTTGGGGTTATCAAGACTCCACCCAGTGATTTGGGTTACCAAGACTCCACCCAGTGACTTGGGGTTATCAAGACTCCACCCAGTGACTTTGGTTATCAAGACTCCACACAGTGACTTGGGTTATCAAGACTCCACCCAGGGACTTATGATATCACGACTCCATCCAGGGACTTGGGTTATCAAGACTCCACCCAGTGACTTGGGTTATCAAGACTCCACCCAGTGACTTGGGTTATCAAGACTCCACCCAGTGACTTTGGTTATCAAGACTCCACCCAGTGACTTGGGTTATCAAGACTCCACCCAGGGACTTGGGGTTATCACGACTCCATCCAGAGACTTAGGTTATCAAGACTCCACCCAGGGACTTGGGTTATCACGACTCCACCAGGGACTTGGGGTTATCAAGACTCCACTTAGAGACTTGGGTTATCACGACTCCACCCAGTGACTCGGGGTTATCAAGACTCCACCCAGAGACTTGGGTTATCACGACTCCACCCAGGGACTTGGGGTTATCACGACTCCACCCAGGGACTTGGGGTTATCAAGACTCCACCCAGGACTTGGGTTATCAAGACTCCACCCAGAGACTTGGGTTATCAAGACTCCACCCAGGGACTTGGGTTTCACGACTCCACCCAGGGACTAAAAGCCTGCCAAAGGACGGACAGCTGACTAGCAAGATCAAGATGTTTAGCGTGGACAAGATGTTTAGCGTGGACAAGATGTTTAGCGTGGACAAGATGTTTAGCGTGGACAAGATGTTTAGCGTGGACAAGATGTTTAGCGTGGACAAGATGTTTAGCGTGGACAAGATAACGCACTAGAGAACCCTAGGGTACCCAGAGCATCATTTTTCTGTTATAGACATTATGTCCTTTCATTGGACTTCTCAAGACTTGGGCCATCATTTCCTGTCAATGAACCCAAGACTCTGGCGATCATGTCCTGTCACCGGCCATTATGTCTTGCCACTAAACTTCACCAGACACTGGACAAGGCAGTGAGGAATTTCGTCAGTGACATTCAGTTCAAAGAAAAAAAAAACATTATTGTCCTCACAGTTCAGGGAGGGTTTAGACATCTTCAGGATCAGACATCTTCAGGTTTACACATCTTCAGGATCAGACATCTTCAGGTTCAGACATCTTCAGGATCAGACATCTTCAGGATCAGACATCTTCAGGATCAGACATCTTCAGGGTCAGACATCTTCAGGATCAGACATCTTCAGGATCAGACATCTTCAGGATCAGACATCTTCAGGGTCAGACATCTTCAGGATCAGACATCTTCAGGATCAGACATCTTCAGGATTAGACATCTTCAGGGTCAGACATCTTCAGGTTTACACATCTTCAGGATCAGACATCTTCAGGTTCAGACATCTTCAGGATCAGACATCTTCAGCATCAGACATCTTCAGGATCAGACATCTTCAGGTTCAGACATCTTCGGGATCAGATATATTCAGGTTCAGACATCTTCGGGATCAGACATCGTCAGGTTTAGACATCTTCAGGTTCAGACATCTATGGGATCAGACATCTTCAGGTTCAGACATTTTCGGGATCAGACATCTTCAGGTTCAAACATCTTCAGGATCAGACATCTTCAGGTTCAGACATCTTCGGGATCAGACATCTGCAGGTTCAGACATCTTCGGGATCAGACATTTTCAGGTTTAGACATCTTCAGGTTCAGACATCTTTAGGATCATACATATTCAGGTTTAGGCATCTTCAGGATCAGACATCTTTAGGTTTGGACATCTTCAGGATCAGACATCTTCAGGTTCAGACATCTTCAGGTTCAGACATCTTCAGGTTCAGACATCTTCAGGTTCAGACATCTTCAGGATCAGACATCTTGAGGTTTAGACATCTTGAGGTTTAGACATCTTCAGGATCAGACATCTTCAGGTTCAGACATCTTCAGGTTCAGACATCTTCAGGTTCAGACATCTTCAGGATCAAACATCTTCAGGATCAGACATCTTCAGGTTCAGACATCTTCAGGTTCAGACACCTTCAGGATCAGACATCTTCAGGATCAGACATCTTCAGGTTCAGACATCTTCAGGATCAGACATCTTCAGGATCAGACATCTTCAGGTTCAGACATCTTCAGGTTCAGACATCTTCAGGATCAGACATCTTCAGGATCAGACATCTTGAGGTTTAGACATCTTCAGGATCAGACATCTTCAGGATCAGACATCTTGAGGATCAGACATCTTCAGGATCAGACATCTTCAGGTTTAGACATCTTCAGGATCAGACATCTTCAGGATCAGACATCTTCAAGTTCAGACATCTTCAGGATCAGACTAGCTGCATAAACAACCCTGAAGGCCCATTCTGTGGAATCTAAACATCACTACAGGACGGATATGTCTGCAACAATGATGCTTAACCACGTCTGTGTCTTGACACAATGTTCATGATCCCAATATCCAACACAATGAATATTCATGATCCTAATATACAAAACAATAATTGTTCTTGATTCTTATATTTGTCACGATAAGTGTTTTTGATCATAATATTTGACGCGATGAATGTTCATGATCCCGATATTTGACACAATACATTTTCTTGATCTCAATATTTGACCGATAAATGTTCTTGCTCCCAATATTTGACACAACAAATGTTCTTATACCCAATACTCGACACAATGGATGTTTGTGATCCCAGGGCGTCTGATGTAGTGGTTCCCAAATGCTTGATCTGATTTTTTAATGTATGACAGGAAGACATGTCAGGAGTGGGACTACAGCGGCGAGGACAATGTCGGCATTGAAAAACAGCAAAGTGTCACGGGTGGGATAGTAGCTGTAAAGGACATGCCAGGGGTGCGACAGTAGCTGTAGAAAAAATGTCAGCAGTGAGACAATAGCTGTAGAGAACATATGGAGAGTGGGGCAATAGCTGTAGAGAATATGTCAAGAGTGGGGCAATAGCTGTAGAGAACATGTCAGGGGTGGGACAATAGCTGTAGAGAACATGTCAGGTGTGGGACAGTAGATGTAGCGGACATGTCAGGGGTGGGGCAACAGCTGTAGAGAACATGCCAGGTGTGGGGCAATAGCTGTAGAGGACATGCCAGGGGTGGGACAATAGCTGTAGAGAACATGTCAGGTGTGGGACAG